CGTGGAAGTCAGTGAGGAGACAGGCGCTGGGTCTCGGGGCTAGTGGCGTCTAGGCCGTTCAGAAGGGGTCTCTCTCCTCTCGCTCTTTCCAAAGACGGCTTATGAATAGGTCAAATTTATGGGATGCTGAGTGTTTCCAAACTCACTCTCTCTCGCTCTCTACCCCCCACCCGACACACGGCCACCCTTCGTTCCCTCCCACCCACCGTCTTCTCTGTGACTCCCTCGACTCTCCTCCAAACACAGACACCCCCCTCCCCCCACTTTCCACACCCTCCCCACCCATTCCCCAGATCCATCTGCCTCCCCTCCTTGAAGAAAAAAAAATGAAATGACGTAAGGCTCGAAGTCTCAGTGGTGAGTGCGCTTAAAAAGCTCGCTGTGTGTTACGACTGCTCAAGGAGGAAATGCCTAAGGCTTAGCGATCCACACCACACTATGGCACCCGCAGGGTTGCTGAGGTTCAGAGAATAACTCCTTGGGAGTCAGTTCGAAAGCCAAAGGGGCCGCGGACAATTAGGAAAGAGTGAGACAATTGAGAGCGTGTAATGCTGAGGTCCTAGAGCAGTGGTTTCTTAACCTGGAGCACACTTACCTCCTGGGTGTGCGAGATGCCCTTTCTGGGGGTGCGAGACATGCCAGATTATTTTTTTAGAAGGTAAATCATCGAAAACTCAAATTAAGCACGGGCACGTCAGTACAACTACTTTGTTTTTTTTTTTGTCAAAACATATGTGTTAACATATATATATTTTTTACGATTGAGAACCAAAGGGGTGCAAGGCTGCAGTAAAGGTTAAGAATCACTTGCTCTAGAGGCTCCCTTATTCTAGGTTGTCAAAGTATCACGTGAAATTAGGGTTCGAGTGTTGGGTTTCATCCTCGCTGTGATTATAAACCGGGGTTTCCAAGAGCTGATGGTCCAAGTCAGACCACACAAAAAACAATCAATACGTTTGCTTTTGCCCTTTAACTTGACATTCCAACTCCAAGAGACAATATCAAAGCAGGGTGTATGGGTGAGTACTACCTCTATTGTGTAAAATATTCTATTTTTAAAGGCCGCTTGAGATATTTTTTTTCTGGAGTCGTTCTGTGAAAAATGTCTTCCGCAGCAGTTTTCAGACAATACGGAGCGAGTCGCTCTGCAATAATTCCAAATGGAATTTTCTTCTCGCAACACGATGCCGAAAGCACAATTCGACTGAACGGGAATGGGGGGGGGGGGGAAGACAAGTGAGAAACTAGGGACTATTGAGTGAGTGATCGCGTCTTGCCATGTCCATGAAGCTCAGCAAATAATAGTAGGGAAGAAGACGGCACGAGATGACTGTTTGGTTTCGAATTAAAACCACTTGCGCTCGGTTGCCATTTGTCTTTCTCTGGAGAGTTTAAACGTCTCCTTCCTTCAGCCGCTGCCATTCGCACTGCAAACGCTTTCGAAAAAATAAACACGCCCGGACAACACATTTGCAGCAAGCAGCTACTGCATATACGCGCGCGCACACACACACACACCATTTCTCTGCAACATCTGCCAGTGACGTTTTAGTTGTTGTTCAAGTTGCTATTGATAGTTTTATTGTTTAACAAAAAACTGAAGTCGTGTTTTTTTTTTGTCCATAGAGTATTGTAACATGTTCACTTTATGGGGGGAGGAAGCAGTGATGCCACGGCTAACATCACTGACGATTGAGAGTATTTAGACTATTTTGGTGCTATAAATGTCCAAATGATGGACCACTTTGTTGAGATATCATTTGTGGCCAGGTCGCTTCTGAAAACTAAGTTAATACCTCAGTGGGCTTTGTTTGGTAGGATGGGGATGGTTCAATTTTATTCGTATGTGTACTGTTTGTGGTTGTGACGTTCTTACCCGCCCCTACTGGACATCTGTGAAAAAGAGCTTCATAGCTCATCGGATTCCTTCAGTATCGATAAACATTCTGATTCTCATTTTGAATGGGTTCTGCCCCCCCCCCCACTTACCACCCCCAGCCTCCACAAAGTCGCCCTGAACAGCGTGCTCGTGTACATGGCAAGTAACCAACGCAACTAATTTAAAATGCCTTTTCAGTCAAATGCCTTTTTTTCACAAGTCCAAACACAGCCGAAGGATACAGGTAACTATATATATGTTAGGTTTATGAAGAATCCGATTCATAGTTTGGACTTGCTATTGTGGTTGAGTTGCCCTCAAAATGTTATTACCTATTCCTATTCATCTCCATGTGAATAGAGAATGGGTAAACATTTGTAAATTAGGTCCATAAAATACGATGGAAATGTAATATTTAAATATATATATAGAAACCAAGTGATATACCGCAGGAACCAACCCCCGTTTCTGAGATGATGAGGAGGAAGATCCAGGCGTCAGACTTGGAAGAAGTAAACTCTCTGCCCTTCACATAATGCAAACGGGGAGAGCTCCTCCGGATGCAGACTGCATCGCTGTGGACATTGTCAAAGAAGCGGGGTGCGTTGCTGGAACGAAATACAGCAGCTACAAATTTCTACAAAAAGGAAACAACTTCTTACGCATGGAATCGTGCAAATCCCACGTACACATCCACGAGCTCAGCAACGGATATCGATCGGACGAAGCGATGTATTGCTGCACCTCTCGCTGCCAACGTCACGTGCATCTTTCCTCCAGACACAGCTGCGGCTCAGAGACAAAACAGCTACTTTTATATGAAAGAAGGAACATAACCATGTTTATTTTTATTCCGAGGTGAGGATGACCAGACAGTTACCAGGCATGCCATCTATATTTCATGGGGATTTTTTTAGAGTCTGATTTATTTGTGTGTGGTGAATGGTGGAGAAACGTTCCCCAAACCCAGCTTTCCGATGTTTTAAGAATCTGATTGCGAAGGAAGACCTGAGACCCGCTCTCTACTTCTCAGCTTTACATTTGGGTGCAAGTAGCCCAAGTTACGTTACTCGGTCGAGGCATGTATCCCACTCCAGTCTCGATAAAGGCATCTTGTCATTGTGTAGAGATACAATTAGAGGTATCTTTGTGTGTTGCGCCAGCCACAAAGCTGGAGGGGTGCTGAGCGACAGGAGCCTCCATTGGAAGGTTGAAGGACACATGACCGGGAGCGGGGAGCTCCGGGCTTGATAAGGCAGGGGGCGTGTCCGAGGGCGGGGCGGCGGCCAAGGGATAAAGGGGGAGCGCCGAGGGGATTCGAGGCTCGTTGTGGGGATCGACTGAAGGGGTCGTCACTCTTCGGTCTTCGCTCACCGTGGAGTTTAGCTGAGGATCGAGGGTCAGTCAACGTAGATGTTAGCTGGCCTGTTCGCTTCGCTAACTCATACACACATAGCGAATAGTCTATGACAGCATAGCCACACTTAACGATAGGACTCAGTGAGCAGTGAGATTGTTTATTAAACGTGTTGCCTCCAACAAATTGTGTGTGCGCCTCAGTAATAACACCCGACAATTTGATAAACAGCATTATCTAACCATCACTCTGTTCTGTCTCCACCTATGAAGAAGAAAAACATGTTATAGTCCACTGACTGACGTATACACTTCCCAGACAAATATTATCAAACGGCATGTTTAAGCAAGCAAGCTTTCGGACGGTTTTGGATTTCCAGGTCTCATCAGAAGTCAAGCTTCTGAAACAAATACTGCAGGATTACCAGCTGTCATAGGCAAAAGAGGGCCCACATCCAAACCGTGCAGCTTCACTCAATGCACATATTAGTTTGAGACATTTCCTAAGCTTGTGGTCCATGAAACTCACCCGTCCGTGCTCAGCTGCCCTTCGTCGAGCACACTTAAATCATGATGGGGACGTTGGCCTCGATGCGCGTGAACGACACAAAACTCACTCACCTCGTCCATCATTAGTACCACATTGTGATGGAAAAATATATACAGCATCCCTCCATCCAAATCCAGACTTAAGCCCCTCTTTCTTCGTTCCGATGCCTATGACTGACCGTGTCCTCTATCCAAATACGCATTGCCTTGAACAGCGCTCAAAGCCATAGGGCGTCCATAAAAGTTGCATACATTCATTATCAAATCATTATAACGACTGCGGTTTGAACTGGTTGCGTCGACGTTTTCCCAACGTACGTCCGATTACGATTTTTTTTAAGTGCGAGCCACCTCGCAGAGCTCGTGGCGGGAAACATTCGAAGAGGATCCAAGCCAAGATGTTGGAGATCGCCGGGGGGACTCGCAAAGTCTCGTCGAGTCGTCAACGCCGTGGTTGAAGGTTTACAGCGAACGCTAACTGCGTGGGGACATCAAGAAGAAGAAGAAAACAAACGGGAAGATGAAAACGACGAGAAATAGCTACGCGTGAATTGAATCGTAGGCCTGAGTTGCAATAATCCGTTGAATCACCGAGGCAGGTGCGCGGATCGTTACACCGCTGCTTGTACATTAAAGGTGAATAACTGCGAAAACGATGTCATCTGCGACCCATATAACGACGGTTCGTCGTTTGTCAGTTTTGAAACTGTTGGCAAAGGCCAATTGGCATATTTTTAACAGCTGTGCCGAATGAGTACGCACACATTGTTCCACAGAGCAGCCACCTCTTCGTCAATGTCATCATCAGCGGCAACAGCAGCTATGATCAATCCACTGCTGGATGAAGGTCTCCCCACTGTTGTCATCGCTCACGATCCAGCGATGTAACAATCCACCCAGAACCTGCACATTAACAGATTTCGTAGCTCCATCTCGAGTACATGTTCTATTACATGGCTACCTGTTCATGGCGATCGTCCCTTCCAGTTTTACGTTTCTTTACAGTTTGTTTCTCTTCCTCCGATAAACTGTGTATATTCTGCAATTAATTTGTTCCTCTTTCTCTCAATATAAATCCACGCGTGCATCCGGCCCCCCTCCCCCCCCCCCATGAATCTTTGCGCACTTTTCAGTTTTTTTGTTCTACCTTTTTTTTTGGTTACCATGTTTACGAGCCACCGCTTACACAGAGTACAAACGCCTTTTTCATAGGGTACACACATTTTTTTTATAGGGCACAGACAATTCATACATATGGTACATATATTTATGCAAAGCGTGTCTCTTATGATTTCATTAAACACAATTTCAATCACATAAACCTACAAAACATTACCGCGGAAACCTTTCTCTAGCAACCGAGATGGAGACGGGAAGGAAAACAATTTTCAATATTTTTTTTTTAATCAATATCCAGCCAGATGGCTCAGCGGTAGACCAAAGGGATTGCAATTGGAAGGTTGCAAGTTCAAATCCGAGTTAGGGCGTCCACATGTCATCCCTTCGAGGTCGATAAAATTAGTACCACCACTTAGTGGGGAAGTCAAAAGGAGTTGTCCCTCTAGTGATTCTTAACCTTGAGTGCAGCCTGCACCGTTTTGGTTCTCAGAAAGGGCATCTCGCACCCCCAGCGGGTGCATGCACCCCAGGTTAAGGACCACTGCTTTAGACACTCTACTCCCCCCACCCCGTCATCGGAATGTGGAATTTCCACCACTGGCTCTGTAAACAGTTGATGAGCACCGCCTGGGCTGCAGGAAATCCACTGATCTTCATTTTTTCATATCAAGAAGCGGTCACAGACCGCGCGATGAACCCGGCGACCCGAGTTCAATTTTACGACCGTGGCAAAACATCTGTGGCGAGCGATGTCTCAACTAGTCTCGGGCTAAACCTCCCCCCCAACCTTTTCCTTATTCAATCCGCACTGACCAGCGTGGTGAAGTATGGTCAAACAACCCCAATGACGGGGACGGTATATGAAGAGATCTTCACTCAGCAGTGGACTGTGAATGACTAGACACACACACATTCACAAGGGGGTTCCCTCAAACTCAGTAGATTTTTTTCACGATGTAGGTTTCCCTTTTAAACCGATGGTACAGCTGGATATAACGTCAGCTGTTGCAACGTTTGTAAATGTACCTCTCTGCATAGTTTGCAGCAGGAACCCGATGTAAGTATATCATATTCTTAAAACACGCTTCTCTACTGTACCCTAAGGTCTCAAGCATCAGTGGCTGACGAAAATGTGAACGTTAGCGTATGATGACAAAGACAAGTTTTGTAGACCAAACAAATATCAGCTCCTGAATTGTTTTTTGCCGTTGTCAAGAAGCCCCCAGCACGTGGTAGCGAAACGTCGGACATCGGTTCGAACAACACAGGGCACAACCCGAAAAATGCATCGGAGATTTTTTTTTTATCCGCTCGTGTTACCCATTCCAGATCAGCGGTTCTCACCCCGTCAGTCTTTCAGCCTTTCAGGGCTGTGCAGGCTGAGCCATGGGTACTGTGCAGGATAAGTTTACGTTGCACGGGGAACGTCAGTGCCACGTTGCAGCGACAAAACATGACACAACGCGAAACAAATGTCCTCACGAACACCGCTTTGACTATGCGTGGACATGTGACCTCTCTCTGTAGATGGCCTACCTGGGGAGGGGGGGGGCGGCAGATGACGGGGGCACGAAAACGAATAGTATTGATTGGGGGGGGGGGCTGCCAAAATAAGGAGGTTGAGAACCACTGTGCTAAATGGAGCGTTATACATCGCAAGATAGTGAGCTATGACAACAGATGGGCGGGTCTTTCATTCAGCAGTGGATTAATCGTGGCTAATGATGCCGATAGGCGGAGGTCTCGTGTATACCACACGTAAGATGGCTAATGCCAGCAAAGAAAGTGTCCTCGCAAGGTCATCCTTCTTATTTCAGTTGAGATTGAGACCCACGGCTCGATATTTGTTGCAGCTGAACATTTTTGCTGCAACAATTTTATTTTAAGAGCGGTCTATTTCACATATTTTTTTTTGTTTATCGTCAATATTCACAGCCACGAAAACTAATGATTAAAAACAAATATTTCTCGCGTTCATCTTTAAGCGTCAATATCTCACGATCTATGTGTGGCCTTTGACCCTTCTTCCGCATGTGCTCAATGTTGTGCCCCTTTTGGCGCATGGTCTGCATCCCACAATTGGCCTTCGTCATCATGAACAATTTCCACTGGGCCATAAGGCATTGATGCCTCCTGTTGGCCGTCTGTATAATAGCAAGACTCGGATTGCAAAGTGGAGATTTGACAACTCCGGTCGGGGTTTTGTGTACACGTATGTATGCGAATGTTGAACTTATTTCACACACCGTGCTTATTGGAGGTGCGGGAGAAGGACAACAAACCAAACAGAAAAAGCCGTTCTAAAGAAATTAGTTCACAATCTAGATTTTTTGTTTTTAAAACACGTACGGCTCGCTTTGTCAGCCCACTGCTGGATGCTCGTGATCGTTGGTTCACCATACCTCACCATGCTGGTCAACATGGGTTGATGATGACGGAAAGCATAGACATGGAAACTTTAATAGAGTACAATAGATTTTACTGCACTGCAGTCTGACAGCAGATATTATGGATAACTCGACATCTCTCAACTGCCGAACAGATGAAAATAATGAAGGATAAGGGATGAATTCAGATGAAACGTTAATTAAGGTGAAGGAGCAGTGATTATTACGCTGCTCCATGAAACCAGATACCCGAGTTCGATTTACAGTCATGGCTAACATCAGTGGCGAAGTGATACCTGAAGAAGTGTTGGGCTTCTCCACCTTCACCGACTCACACTGAACGACACATTGTAGGGAGGTCTTCATTTACCATTTGATTGACAAGGGACTGAATAAATATTTATATATTTTGTTGCGCAAGTAATTGAGAACTCGGAACGAACACCAGAAGACAATGTGACCATCAATCATCAGAGTTAAGCGAGCCTGCGGCTGTCAAATGAAGATTATACAAGAACGTACACACCGTGGCAACAAGACAAAACTCATCACGTGCTGAGGAGCCATGGCAAGGTCAAACTTAGGGATATCACCTGAGGTACAAAAACAAACCCAGAAGATAATGGGAAGAAGAAAAAAGAATGATAATAGGACAATACCGGGACAGGGGATAACTACATGTAAATGCATTGTCTTGAGCAGTTTATTCTTGCTAATATTATTAATGCAACTAACAAAAAACGGGACTCGTATCGTCCTAGGAAGACTGACATACATCAATGGGAAGCAGCTACCTCAACGAGAGGACGATCCTGTGAAAACCAGGGCAGGTGGCAACCGTCATAAAACCTGCCTCGAAGTTGCTGTGAGAATTACCTCAATGCCAAATAGGTATTTGGCCTACGAGCCTGGTGAAAACGCTATTGATTTTGCGAGGCTGGCCGGCGGCTGCTTGCTAATGCCATGCTTGATTATCTTTGTAAGTACCCAATTCTATTGTGGGCCTCCAGGCCATTTGCATTGTGGTGGTGTAAACCGAATTGATCTTGTCAATGCATTTCCCACCTTGTGTTTAAACAGATTAAGCCATCTGAAACAATTTAATGCTAGATGTATTTCATTCATCCGTTTTTTTTTTTGTTTATCTCATACGAGTGTCAGTAGATCAAACTTGAACTTTAAACACATTTAATAAGTGCCCCATTGCTCATTCAGTCCCTCGGCCAATGGCCCAAAATTGTTCTTAACGGTCCCACCCAGAGTGGCAAATGCAAACGATGTTTTCCTTGAACGATTTTACTTATAGATAACAAATATTTAATGATAGCATAATGCCGTTAAAGAAGGGTACCCCATTGTATATTTGATAGAGAATATACTTTTGGGCGTGGGGGGACGTGACAGGAAACATTCACTGAATATGAAAATAAATAGGAAGAGTGTTTATAAAACAGAGAGTATACGCGCTAAGCTTTCTGCCCATGGATACTGACAGCATTTGCCACCCTAGTGGTACTGACAAATCCCCATGGCTCATGGCCTAATTACAACCAGGGGACACATAGAATGCAATACAATCATTACCTCATTATTTTTTGTTAACCAAGCAGGTCCTCTCCATCCTATTTTCACTCATTATTATTATTTTGATATATATGTATATACTGTACTGTATATAGTAAAGGAATGTCTTTTTGGGCAGTGTACACCCGAAGGTCGTGCATTATTTCATTATTCTTGCAAGTGTAAACAAATTGTCCAGAAGTCAGCTTGACATTATAACTCTCACAATGCATACTTATAGGTGAGATTTTGTTTAGAAACTTCCAGATGCAAGCATGACACCATGCGATTGCTATAAATATAAACACGTTTAATTCAGTGTTCGTATACAATCGGTACCACTGTGCAAGCTCTGCACGGATTCTCATAAAGTGAACATTCAACTTGTACCTACTTGGTCTATAAACCATCCTCTTGGAACTAAGGGTGCTTTCTTTGCAAGCCGTGGAGGTTATTTTTTTTAGCATAACTGGAATTTACTGAACAACTAAACAAAAAGCCTACGCAAATCTAGAAGTAGCACTTATGTCGGCCGCCTCTTGCAAATCTTGGCAACCATTTTGTTGAAAGTCGGCATTCTTGAAATTCTACACAGGAACTTTTTAATTCACCTGAAGGGCTTGCGTCTGTGGGCTTCCCAGATAAGCCGGCACCATCGGTCACCCTCTCTGCTGCCCTAAAGCTCGAGACACCGTCTGAATCTTGCCTGCTCAATTTCACCGACGGCAAGCCGTGTTCGGCAAAGTTCACCTTTCCAAAATCCTGACACTCTGCCCAGCTGCTCCGCTGGTGCCTGCCATCGCACGAGAATACCTCTTGTGCCACCTGACCCTGCGGGTAACTTGCAGGCCTTAGTGCAGCCCCCCTCCGCCCCTCTCTCTTTGTAAACTCGGTCATTCGTGGCTTGGCCACATCTGCGCCAACCACGAGTCTGTCTGCAGAGAACTTCTCCGAACTGCCCCACTTGTCTCCGTTCGCTTCTTTACTTTTCGCCTCTTCATTGTCGCCACACGAGAGACGATGCCCGTCGCTGTTCCCTTCATCGTGCCTAACTCTCACTCCATCGCAGTTCGCCGCAATATTTGGCACATCTACTCTGTCTGGCCCAAAGCCTTCATTGACCTCACCGGTTGTAGGTGGAGAGGCATTAAATGCTTCCAGTCTCCCTGGATCTAGCACGAGTGGCTTATTTCTTGAGCGCCCGACCAATGGTTGCATCTCTTGCGGTTTATCCTCCAGCGTCTGCGCTTCATGGTCAGGCGAATCCTTGGACGACATCTCCTTGTACAAGCTCACCAGCTTCTGCACGTCCAGGTGGTGCGGAGATCTGGAGACCTCTGCTTTGGACGACGCGACGTCCGAAGCCACACCCTTGGAGGTCTTCCACCGGCTCGGAGAGAAGTGGTTCAGCTCGTCGACGCTCACTCTCTCCTTGCAGCCGAGGTTCTTGGTGTCCTTCTCCACAACGACCACCGTCTCCAGCTCGGCGTTTCTCACAAAGGCCTCCTTGGTGTTCATCGAGACGATGCTGCCGTTGCGCTTGGCCCTCTCGAGTGCCTCACGCCGCTTCACCGCCTTCTCCTGCCGCTTCTGCTCCTTGTAGAACTCGCTGAAGTTGTTCACAATAATAGGGATGGGCAGCGCAATAACGAGCACGCCCGCAATGCAGCACAGCCCGCCGATGATTTTGCCCAGTAATGTCATTGGGTAGATGTCGCCATAGCCCACAGTGGTCATGGTGATGGTCGCCCACCAAAAGGACGCCGGGATGCTATGGAACTTGGTATCCGGCTCGTCCTTCTCGGCGAAGAAGACGAGGCTGGAGAAGATCATGATCCCCATGGCGAGGAAGAGGATGAGGAGGCCTAGCTCGTTATAGCTCCTCCTGAGCGTGAAGCCCAGCGACTGCAGGCCCGTGGAGTGACGAGCCAGCTTGAGGATCCTCAAAATGCGCATGATGCGGAAGATCTGCACGACGCGCCGCACGTTCTGGAACTGCGAGACACCACGGCTCGATTCGGTGAGGAAGATGGTGATGTAGTATGGCAAGATGGCCATGAGGTCGATGACGTTGAGGGCGCCTTTGAAGAACTTCCACTTGTTGGGCGCCGACATGAAGCGCAGCAGGTACTCCATGGTGAACCAGGCGATGCACACAGCCTCCACCTGTGCCAACTTCGGGTTGTCGACGATGTGCGAGAACTCGTCCTTGTGCTGCAGATCGGGCAGCGTGTTGAGAGACAGCGCAATGGTGGAGAGCACGATAAACAGGATGGACACAATGGCCATCCCCTGGGAAGGGAGTAGACGGAGGGACGTTCAGAGGAGGATGGGGATGAGATAAAGGAGGAGAGCGATAGGAAGGGTTTAAGTGGCGGGAGGGTGAAAGGTGGTTGAGAGTGAGTGTGGGGGGCAGGGTGGTGAGGATGCAAGAAAAGGGGTAGGAGATGCAGGGTGGCAGGGAAACAAGAGAGGCAGAGAAATATCATCAAATATGCATTGAAATACAGACACACTGACGTACAGAGACGGAGAGATAACGGAAGAGAGACGTTGCTGTAAAGAGGCTTTCAGGTATACTAAATAAACAAGGATGAAATTCAAAACGTTAACACGGTTTAATTTGAGACTGGAACTACGCAAAAAAATGTATCAATGATCTCTTTCCGATTATTGAATTGCAAATTTTCTGTGAGCTGTGAACATTTTAAGGCAACCATGTTTCTTTTACACATCAACATGTTTGATGAAAACGACTTATTATTTCACCTCACCCATCCTTCTCAGATACATCAGAAAGAAAATGAATTGTTGTTATGTGTCCCATGGCCCATAACTACTGACATCCCATCACTCCTCACAGCCTCTGTGGGTTATAACCATTCACTTCCCACCTCCCCGCCAGTGATTCAAGTCATACTACGGTTGCGGTCCAATTGGCCTAATGTAGCGGCCTCTAGTGGCTGCAGAGGGTCTTATTATTAATGCCAGAATAAGAGTGCATGCTGAAAAAGCACAAGTTTCACACGACAAAGTAATGTTTGTTGCTTGAAACTTAAGGTTTTCCAGCCTGCACTCTTATTCGGTTACGATTATGGGATTATTACGACATTTATGGATGTGATTAGCATTTGCATTAGTATTGCTGATGATAGTGTTCTGATGAGTCTTAGTTATGACAAACCAGTCTATCACAGTTGTCCATCGCTGCATTGCTGCTGCTATTAGTCGGTCACATTTGCTCACATTTATTGCGGGTGGCCTAGGACGAGAAGACCACAATGCACTTCTTCAGGCTGCGTGTGCTCTTTGCGCACGCCTACGTCCTTGTTGAAGCCGGTAAGCGTGAATATCAGTGGCGTGAGCGCAGTTGGTGAAACGGAAGCCAGTCATAATCTATTTTCCCCAGGTTATCGCTAAAGTGGCTTCTGAGGACAAGGTCGTCCTTTAAGATGATACTAATGCCTGAGCAGGTCATGAAAATGTCACCTGGGTGAGACAGATTGTAAAGCATCGGCCGGAGGGATTAGTATAATAACAAGTTGTAAGATACTTTACTTTTTGGACAGCCCACAGTCTTGAAACTACAAATATGCCAGCCAATCACTCGCATATATACAAATAACATGTATATATTTTGAACTTTCTTTCGCATCGTACATATTCAACCGTGTTAATTGGAGGTGTGGAGGAAGGACAACAAACTAAACACAAAAAGCAGTTCTAAAAACATGAGTTTTCAATCTACATTTAAAAGTGGATAGCTCCAGTGGCTTCCTAATATCGGAAGGAAGGGCATTCTAGATGGCCGCAAGAAGGGCATCTGAAAGCGTGCAATGCAGTGACCATCTTTGTTCGATGGCCAGCCAAAGGCGAGTGTGTGTGCATACAACATTTCACCGACGGCGTTCTTCGGCTGCACGGGGAATCACAAACACATGATGTTCTAAACGTATGTGTGAATGCAGTGGCTGGGCATGGCATTGCGAGCCCTTTTTGCTTGACACAAGGATTTATTTGAGAGCTTATCGAGCTTGCGATCAATAGCTCATTACTGTCGCCATATAAACGTAAGAGGACGTCTATGATATATATATACTGTAGCGTATAATAATGTTAAAATGTATTTGCAAAGGAAACGCATAATGACTCCGGAATGCATCGGACGACACTGCCCCCTACTGTCCACAATGCTTGCTAAACGCATGGTAGTCCGTCCATTCTAAGCACTTTCCAGGCTCAACCCCGCTTAGTATCCCTCCTCGAAACGGTATAAGTGGCATTTCCCGCACCTCAGATTAGCACGGTTGATGATGATGACGATGATAATAAACTCAACGGGAAACAGAAGTGCGAGCGGGCCTGGAAGGAGAGTTAGAGCAAATGATGCGTGCGAAAAAAAACGGTGATTTATAGACAGAAAGGGACTGTGGACTCATTGAACGCTGCTGTCTGAAGTAATTTGGGCACATTTTCTTCTCTCAGGTCGGTGGTCTGACACAAGGCCGTGCGTGTTGTACGCGTTCATTGCTTCTAACTATCCAATGTAATTTATCTTTTTGGAAATGAGTTTAGGAATAAAGGGCACTCCAAACCGCTCTTGCTCAGCTCATTAAATGAATCGAGATCCCGTTTTACGTTCAATGGTTGCTCTTTAGATATATATGTCCCTCCAGTGCATGATTTCCTTCAATACATTGGCTTTTTGTGACCAATGTTATAATTATAACAGATTTTTTTTGGGTTAGGTCGCTTCAGTAACACATCTGTATCATACACCCTCATCCACCCGACGCAGCCTATTAGTAATGTTGTCACGTGATGAACAAAGTTGCCAATTTGTTCCTGCCTCAGCACCACCAGTGTGCTGGACAGCGATCCACAACAGAAACGCCTTCCTGCCTCGCTTCATAGGTTTTTCAATAATTTCCTGAAGTTAAAATGACAATTGGTCGTGATAATGACTGTGTGCTCATCGAATGTGGGATGGCCTAAATATTTTCAATCTTTATATCTTCGGGACAAATTTTTGGCAGTTTCAAAAATTATGAAAAAATAACAATAAATTTTACCCTTTCTAGCAAAAAGGTCCCATATATATACGGCAAAACGGTCCCATAGATAGAAGTGAACGACCCGAGCTACAAGTGTGCTGATACTTGCATTGCTTTTGTGCTGTTCACCTTCTAGCGTACTCTGGTCTAACACTCGTGAGACAAGGCCATAAAGAAGGCTGTCTCTGGTATAGGAAAATCAATTTCAAAGACAATGCCGTATATTATCAGAGCATGTCTGTTTGCATCTTTTGCAACAAGTACCGTTTGTGGTTAACACAGACTTGATGCCTTGCAAAGGGTATCTATTTGGCGTTTGATCATCTTAACACCTCCTGTTTTATTGCCAGATAGGCTAAAAACTATTATTATTTTCTCTCTCGTTATGTTTACGCTGTCATGTCAAGCCTTTGTAGACTATGAAAAGGCGTTTCACCCCCTATGGAAAATTGATTTAGTCATCCGCGCTGTCAAAAAACGAGGCCTAAATAAATAAATAAAATATTTTTTTATTATAACAAAACGTCCACTGGAAAAGAACCGAAGAGATACGCTGGGGACGGCCAAACCCGTTCCCAGAAACATAGAAGAGGTTTTTTTTTCCCTTCGCAAAATGTACGCGTAGCAATGTAAACAATACACTGTATACAGAAAACAGAGCATGCATTAAAGACCCAACGAGTAGTTACGTCATCTATTAAGTGGCCAATAATAAATGCTTCGCAGTTACTTTAATACAGTGCGTGCACGTACAAAACACGATTACGCTAAAATGGAATGTATTTGAAGCATAAGTAAAGCACGTGTGTGTTTTCAGTTACATTAGCCCCGTGTAATTAAATTGGAATTTGCAGTCCGTTGCCAATCCAGTGCTGGATGAAGGCATGCCCATGCCGTGTCAGTCATGGGGGGCTGCTGTTTGACCGTACTTCACCACACCGGTAGGGTGCGTGATGACGAAACCGGGGGGGGAAGGGGTCAGGACGGCTTCATAGATCAATCGCCTGCGCTATTTTAGCCGTGGCCGGGAATTAAACTCAGGTTGCTTGCTTCAGAATACACTAACCACTGTGCTCCCCCCCCCCCCACCACCGTATAACCGATAGCCATCATGATGAGATAACACTTCCTTTGAATGTCACAAATGAAAACGCGACAAACATATTTCCGTTTGCAGAAGACTCCCAGAAGCTGGATACACTGCAGAGCTCCCGGATGGCGTTTCTCATGGAGCTCTCGCCACTGCTCACGTGACCCCGGGTGACCCCTTGGCCGCAATGCAAAGTAATAATAAGAATGTGAGAGCAGCTCTGGCCCATTAAACATTAATCGGCTATATTACAAGCCTCTGAATTATTGAACCGTCAATTATGTTTAACGTCCACACATTTTTTTTTATTTTTTTTTGACCAGAGCCACTTGGATATGTGTACGCAACAAAACGTAGCATTTTAAAGAGACCATTTAATCTTTTGATGATGGTGCACTTTCACCGAGGCATCTTAAACGGCTTTACACAGATGACTCGGGATTGGTAATTTAGCCCACGGAAAATGGGGGAACATGCCATTAGCAGGAGCTCAACAATTATTTCCAAAGAGGATCATTAGCGCGCCGCTTAGTGTCAAATGCGGACCAAGTGGCATCATTCTTTTCCTCTTCCAAAAGTCACAAAGTATTGGAATTTCCACTGGCACATCCGAGCTTAGCCAGTGGGTGCGGGGGCCTCTCACGGTACAGGTGACTATTTGCTGTTCTGAGCCAGAACCAAGCCATGATAGGCTGGCCTCACAAGACCGTTGAACCTGGCTCAGGGACCAAGCAGGATTATGGACGCGTTCAGTTGGGTTTGAGGTCAGCCAGTATACCGGGAGGACGCGGCTACACTCTCGGCTCATTCATTGTGCGTGATGTTAGCGGCACGCCTTGGCGTCTAATGTAGGAAACCTAAATGAACTAAAACGAAACTATTTTTCTTTTATTTTAACAGGTAAGGCCCACTGAGTTATACAGCTCTTTTTTCAAAAGCGACCTGGCCACACATGACAACTCAACGAAGTGGCTTACCCTCATGTGGAAATGTATACTTTAAGCGCATGTTTATTTTAAATGTGGAGGGGGGAAATTGGAGGATCCGGAGAGAGAGAGAGAGAACACGCAAACCCAAATATAGAGGCATCATCAAGGTCGGAATCGAACCCACGTGGCGATACCTCCTCAGCCGCACGCGTGGGTTGG